AAGGGTTCGTGAGAGAGCGAATGAGAGCGAGTCCTGTGTCTACATCCTGTTTCGGGCTATTGCGTATACTGCTGCGGCAAGCAAGTATCCCGGTTTCCCGCTAATCTTGCAGCATGCTGGCATTGAGCAAAATGCTATGCAACATGTGCGCTTTGCCAGCTTCTGTCTTTCGGTCCCCAAGCTGTTGCTGGGCTGAGACTGGTGGTGATGACGGCGGCTTTGGTGTTGAGGGCAGGGTGGAGGACTCGTGTCATCCTGGGCACGGGTCCCATTACAATTGAGGGTTTCGCACCCACGGGAGGATGCGGCATGGTAGTGCCATGTGGTCAAGTGGTGACGTGGTCGTGATAGCAGTTCGAGTGTCTTCACGAGGAAGCCAGCAGTGCTCTGCAATGGGAAATTCAGACTGCGCCGGCCGCAAACCAAAGTAGATACTTGTCGTAGTGGTAGTATGGCGAAATCGCTATGTTCCGCGTCGCGGCTGACGGGTGACTGAGTCTCTGAGAGAGAGAGCGAGAGAGAGAGAGAGAGAGAGAGAGAGAGATTGGTAGTGGCAGAGCTCGTGGTGATTGTGACGGCGACATTCTGAATGCCATTATGAACGTTTCTGGTGTAATGAATGGCAAGAGGCAAGAGCCATGACACGCTGGTCGCCGTTGTCATGGTTGAAATTCACATTCCTTTCTCGATAGCCCAGGAACGAGAAGATGCCTCAAAAGCCGCCGAACCTTCCGGCGAAGATTGAGATTGCGAATTTCTGATGCCGGAGACGTTGCCACTTAGGGGCTTCACAGAAGCCGCGGTGTCCGATACAATCGACAGCCCTGGTGCCTCTTGCGTCGTGCTCAGAGTGATACTGTAGCCGTAGCCTTTAAAGGTAGCAAGCTCTGAATGGCGCTTGGTTCAACCCTTGCAGACTTGCAGACATTCACATTGAACACCGGCTCCATTTTCACAGCGGGCCGCGGCCCTATGGGCCTGGCATGGCCTGTTCATGCTCTTTGTTTTCAATGCTCCCGACCACTGTCCCTGCAGTGCGCAGAATCCTTCATGAGTGGCTCTTTGGGAGCAGGTCAGAACACACTGGGGAAGGGGTGTCCCGAAGGAGTTTGAAGCAGCGAGCTCATCTCATCCGTTCACCCATCCACCCACCCTTGAATCAAACATTCCACAAACCCGATTTTACCACTCTCTCCAAACCCCCGCTACACACCCTCGACCGACATGCTTTCCCATGTACTAGCGGCGTACGCAACTTTGTGAATGTACTGGCGGAAATGCTTCCCCGGTCCCCAAGCACTTCCCGGAGTGAGGCGTTCCGAGGCAGAATTCATCAAAACCCAATGCAGCATGCCTTGGTGCCTACCGGGCGGACACGGCCCGGCTACCGAGAGGGTTGTCAATCGCAAGTACGAATCGTCGTGGCAGCAAATTGCAGCTTACCCCCCATGTGCTGGCAGGATTCAGGAGCACGGCCAAGATGTTGCCTCCATGTACTGGCGGCAATCAGAGACATGACCGAGGACGAATCGTCACAACACGACACACCAGCGCGATCGCACGAAACAGGCAACCCCTTCATGTGCTGGCGGGGCTCAAAAACATGACCAGAAGTCTTCTCCCAAATACTCCAGACATATCGAGGCTTCAACGGTGGACGCCGCTCGCCGGAGCATGCGGATTCCCATTCAGAGACACATGCACGTAAACCTGAGAGACCAGCTCGAACACCTCTCCTGACGAAATGACTGAAGCTTCAGGAGCAACGTCAAAAAAACTTCATCATGCCATCCGTATAAACCACCCCCAGGGAAAAAGCCCCGGGAATAGGGGCCACCAATCCAAAGTATCAGCGTGCAGGGAAGTGGGCGTCTATCTCGCCGCAGCGGGCAGATGCAAAGCACTGGATGTTGCATCGAAAGATGCCGAAGTGCAGTTTCACCAAGAAGCCGGAGACCTTGATGCACCAGTGATCAGCCGACTTACCCATTGACCGTGGATGACGGAGTTACGTCCATACTCAGTAGTTGCAATGATCGTGAGCTGCAGCTTCTTGATTTGACAATGTTTTCCAGCCAGCCCGGAACGCAGAACCAGGGATTTGGGAGAATAGGCACCCGCATCGAGTGACAGTCTTGAAGTCGTCTTTGGGATGTGGGCGGCCAGCTCCCTGGTCCCACAGTCGCAGAAGATGTTTCTTAATTGAGGCGGATACTTGCGCAATTGTTAGGCGCTCGGATCTAGGAACACTGGCAGAGGTAGATGTGTTGTCGAACGGCATTGAGTGAGTACCAGAAGTCTTGCTACATGCTACCATCACCTCGATATAGCAGCGAGGCCAATCAACTGGTCGCGCTTTGCTCACCTCGCGGCTTCGACCAAGGGGTAGGTCCTCAAGGCAGCAGCGCAGGTCGAGCCCCGTCGTCGGATGCACTTTGCATTGCAGATATGCCTGCGAAGATTCAAAATACCGCAGCTCCGGTGCATGTGCGCACAAAGCCCCTTCACCTTTCGAGGGCTGCAAGCTTGCCATCGCCGTCCTGCTGAATACCCTCAGGCCCGGCATCCGCGACGGCAGCGGCAGCACCAGCAGCGCCGGCTGCCTCTACAATTGCTAGCTTGGAGCAGGACCGCAAGTCAGACGCAGCCAAATCAAGACCCAGACATCCAAGCTTCAAAGCCTGCCATGCGGGTTCGTCCTTGCAAAGCAGGAGGCAAAAAAGGCTTCGAAGCTGGGATCCCCACCCCTTTCTAGGGAGACAGTTGCGGCACAGCGCTTCCAGAGGCGAGAGCTGGCGACAAGCACCTTTTTTCACATCAATCCTCATCCCCATACCTCTCGGCCCACACATGGTTGCAACATAACTGATCCTGCGCTTGCTTCTCAAGAGCCGCTAAAGCTTGTTAGAATACTAGTCGCCCTAGCTGAAGGTTAGTCGGCCTTGACGACTTGAGCTGAAGCGGCATGAAGAACAATAGGCTGCAGCAGCAAAACGTGTGTCCATCGGGCGATCTCGGCCGTGACGAGGAGCTCGCTCAGTGTCGTCGACAGCTTCAGGCTTTGCAGCTGCAGCGAGAGGCTCGTTCCCTTTCCAAGCACCTGAAATCATGCATGACCCACCGTTGCCTCTTGGGTCTTCAGCTTTCACCAAAGCTTCCGCCGAACCAGGAAGAAGAAGAAGTTGCCTTCGTGTGAGCCCACGCAGAACTGCACTGGAGCCTTGGCCTTGCCCGTCCCCCGTCCAGGCCGAGCACAGGGCCGCAGAGGCCCGAAATGCAGAGTTGCTCGCCGAGCTGGAGGCAGGGCTGACGCGCCGAAAAATCTAGAGCACCACGACTGCTGTGACGACGACCACTACGACGCGAGGAGACCCGTCAAACAGACCACCAAAAAGACCCAGGAGACCGCTCGGAGACCACGGGAGATCAGCAGCAGACCACCAAGCTTGCACCGAAATCTCCAGGGAGCCACCAGGAGCCGATCAGGACACAGGCACCGCGGCGAAAATGTTTTCCGCCAATTACTGACGGACGCCACCAAGCCTTCGCAGGAGCACGGTGCCTGTACTTGCAGAATTCAGGAGGCCCAGGCTCTCCAGGCTCTCTGTTCGACGGTTTTAGCAGATCCTGTGTAAACAAGAGGACGTGGGGGTACAATATGCGGATATATGCACCGTGCCACAGCATGAGCCGGGTTTCGGGGAACATTCTTCCCTGCCACGCTAACCAAGTCTCTTTACACTTCACCTGCACCTTTGTGCCCCGAAGTGTGTACCACATTGTTCGCGGAAGAATCCCTCCTCTGCACGTGTAATTGTCTCAGCCTTGACCCGAGCCCTATCAGGAGCTTCGGCCTCTCAGGGCGCTCCATACGAAGCTAGGCCACGACGAGGAGAGCCGCATGGGGCGCTAAAGCAGTGGCAGAAATGGCACTGTAGTATAGCGCGGAGACAGTTCTTATACAGTAATAATTATGTTGTTGTTGCGGCACGAAGCGGTACTGCAACGGCTGTGCTTCCACGTCCTGTCTTATCGGCTCTTGTGATATCGTTCATGCAGTACCGCACCACATAGTGCTCGTAGCCACCACTCCAATCCGTTTCAAGGCAGCACTTGCTCCTTGAATTTCAGCAGCTTCACTGCTTCATCAAAATGCAAGCGTTTCGCAGCAGATCCCCGAATGCCATCAATGCTTCGGTGAATAAATGCTTTAGAGAGCGTTGTGGTTGTTGGACAGAAGAAGAACCTCAAGATTAACATGTTATTACTTCTGCTTTGAACCCAGCCTGTACCATACAACCGCCCGCAGGCTTTGCCACCGCCACGAGCTCCCACGTCACCGACAGACTCCGTAGGCGGATCTCGACACCATTTCGGACTGTATGGAGGAAACAGGGCACGGAGTCACTTCGTAGCAGACATACTGCTACACCAGGCACTTATCCGTATGTACGTATGTATGTGTGTGTATATATATATGTCATGTACATACTGTGCCTGTCATTTATTCTCGGAGGTAGCGGAAAGCTGCTTGACTGTTGTGACACTTGCCTCGGCCATATCATGCAAAGCTGTTGCCAATCACAAGTTCTGCCGCGTTCTACCTCTGCAGCCGGAGGCTCCATGACCCGAGCAGAGGTCGACGAGCTTGTCCGGACCAGGCAAGCAGACAGCACATCTTGCGAGTGCTTCAGTTTATGTTGGGGGAATGTCCTTGTTGCGGAAAGTCTAAGAGTCTAAGGTGGCTGTGCCGACCCTCTCCGTGATCCAGTAAAGTCAACTCGAACTTGGAGCCGCAGGATAGACTCGGGCAGACGTGTCGGCACCATTCAGCACCAAATTCGAAGTGTTCAACCGGCTCAGGCCGAAAAGTTGTGAAGAAGCATCGGAGAGCAATATCATGTCAGGCAGCCGACTTCAACACGCACGCAACCGCAGTTTGCAACGAATGAGCTCGATACAACGAGTACAGTAAAACGGCATACACATTCTTGAGCGCAATGGCGCAGCCTGCGTGGTCCCGCTGGGGCCCTCAGCCACGGCGATGTGTCTTGCACCACGAAACGACTCCCGGTCCAGTGGTCCAGGCACGGGCAGGCACATGCTTGAGGCTCACACTACATACTGTAGCATATTGTAGCAATGGAAGCTCGTTTCTCCAGTTGCGAGGCCTACCGGAACCTCCCGCGCACGCCTGTAAGCAGCGATCAGCAGCGAGGGGCTTTTTGTGTGCACAAGGTGGGGCTTCGTGCAGATCTTGAAGTGTTTCGGAGATATTCACTTTGATGGTGCGTAGACGGATTGCACGTTCGTCTGGCTATGTGATTTTTCTAGGGGTTGCAGGTCAAACAACCAACTAGGACCTAACTGGGATCAACATCGGCGAAAGAAAGAGAGAGACACATGCCTTGGACCTGCACGGACAACAAGGACCATAAGAAAGGGTGATCAAAAGAACAAGGCGTAGCGAAGGACCACGTAGTACAACTACAATTGCATTTTTGGCATTGTTGCCACTCTCACTTCGTGGACGTCAAAAAGTTATCACCGTGGCGGTGCCATTGCCAGTCTTTGCTCTGAGCAGTCTGGGAGTCCCGCCCGTTCTTGCGGTGAGTGGTGTTGTCATCATCTTACTATTTCTAACGTTGCGGCTACCAAGTACTCAGGTACTGGGAATGATTGAGGTTGGATGGATGGATGGATGGATGGATGGATGTGACGTGAGTCCAAGTCTGGATGTGTCAGTTCAGAGCATGTTGCTCTAAACAACAAAAACAAGCGAACATCAATTAAACGAAGCACCATCAAATCTGGTTGACGGTTGACCCTGCACTGCTGTACGAACAGAGCACCCTCCGAGTTTGCTTCGATCATCGAAGGTGCCCCTGTACTTAATGTCTCTGCGTATGGCCTTCCAGAAAGCAGCGCAACAAGTCACCATGTTCTGGATTGAGAAGCTTTGCCAGTTCAAAGGCACTCCTAACCACAACATACCACAACAACCTTGGCAGTAGAAGAAGCCTCACAAAGTTCATGATTTCGGGCAAGACCTCTCCATCTATGTGACGCTTCGGGCCTTGAACTTTGACCACTGGCCAGTTGTCTGTCTCAGCAACAGACGGTTGCTTTAGGGTCTGCTTTGCACCACCGAACTGTTTGTGGCCACGACTTTGTAACACGAGGTACAAGTAAGTAACACGGAATTGTGCCGACGCGTGCAGACAAGCCTACGCGCAAGACAAAACTGTGAGGGACATGTCACTTGCCGATTCTGGTGGAGTATGACTGTCTCACGTCACATCCAGCTTGTCACGCTTAATTAAGAGTGGCAGATCTTCCATCGCACGTTAGTGCTTCGCAAAAGTGTTGCTGGAACAGGGACTGGCTGCTAGAAGCTTCACCGTAATGCCAGCCAGCCGGAGACGACCTGACTGTGAAACTCATGATGTCAGGGCTAATGGTTTCGCAAGCATGCAAACAAACGACAACAATGCTGTTCGAAAGATCGACAGTGAAGCTCAAACGGACCCAGGCAGGCAGGTGCAGGGTTCCGACTCCGAAGCAAGTTACCGAATGCAAACCAAGCCGTGAAGTGATCACATTGACAACCAAAGCCCAGCAGCAACACTTCCTCATGTCCCTAGCGGCCTCCTTGCCAGCTTGTGCATGATGAAAGGGCTCGGCCTTGGGTGTGACCGCCGCCGGCGCGACGATGGCGCGGAAACGTAGAACGCTGCGTGCTCCGGTGCTGGGATTACAGGATTCAGCTTTCTCATGAGAGCCGAGCGCCAGGAGTACAGTTCCATGGGTTGAGGCGAACTGTGCAAAACTCTTGCCTGATGAAGCCACTTTTGGTGGGGTCGGAGAGTGAGTAGCATCTCACCGAGCGCTCCAAGGACCCTTGGAGCTTAGCATTCTGTTCTATTCTGGACTTCGGACGCACTGAGCCGCAGATCGCGCACCAAGGTGCGAAGACGGCTTGCCGTGCGACGACAGCACCTGTGGACGCCTTGCGCATTTGAGGGGATGCGAACATCCTGGCAAAGGTTGCTAGTAGTGGGGGTTGTGGTTGTGGGGTTGTGAAAATAGTAATTAGTGGTGGTGGTGGTGGTGGTGGTGGTCGGAAGTAGTGGTGGTGGCCTGGGGGCGCTTGTGATGCTGGCAGGTGGCAGTGGCAGCAGTGGTGGTGACCTGCTGATGGTCGTGGTGGTCGTGGTCGTTCGCGCTCGCGTCGCCGTCATCGACATTAAGAGTACGAGTAGGAAGCAGCACCACTAAGGCTTTCATTCAGAACAGAAGTGCTGTTGGTGTTCTAGCACATAGCTCCACATCATAAGAACGGCAGCGTATTCTTCCCAAGAGGGTCCTACAGCTTGAAGCCCGAATGAGCAGCCTCTGCGCCAGAGACACACAAGCCCATGTCGAGCTGTAGCGAGGAGATTCTTCCCATTCCAGGAAAAGGATTTGGCGCAATCGCCAGGAGAGACATTGCCAGGCCGGATGGGTGAGAGTCTGCAGTTCTTGGCGATTTGATGGTAGGCTTGCGTAGACGACGTAGACATCGGTTGTGAATACGGGGTTGCTTGTTGGTCGTCGGGGTTGAAGAAGTGACCCCAAGCGGCAAACCCCACATGCTTTTTCGAAGGACGATGGCTTTTTTTACTCGACAAGGCATCGAAGGCGACAAGCGAGAACAGCCAGATTTCTCGCCACACAGTGAAATTTTGTTTGGTGTCGGTCATACAAGCTCTTGAAAAATGATGTCAATCCAGGCCACCGCCAGAGTGTCCTGGAGACTTGTGGACATACGAAGGCGCAGCAGCTTCAGGTACAACTATGTACTTCGGCAAAGAGCAAGCTGCTGGCTGCTACGCTGTTTTGGCTTTACCAGCTAGCCTGATCCACGACGGACTCATCAACAGAGGCTGGCCCGCGTGCTGCCAAAAGAAGGCGACTTGCGAAACCTTTTTTCAATGGACCACCACTACAGATTTCGACACGGGCAGCAGGTGCGACGGCCATCATCCATCGAAACAGCTGGGCTGTTCTGAAAAAGGTTGTTCGTGCAGCTAGACGAACCCAAACGATAGCAAGCACTCTTGCTTGTATGCCTTTTTACAAGAACAACTCGAGTTCATTGATGCGATATTCTGATATTCTCTTTCAGCTGATATGAGCTAGGCACCGTGGCTTCGTTTACAACGGGAGCATGGTCTATCGAAACAGTTACCACCCCCACCAGCACCAGCGCCAGCGCACAAGTTGCTTGCAGGTTGTTCGGGTCCAACGTTTGAAAGCACACCTCCTTTAAGGACCTGCGAAAACCGTTCTCCAAGTCATGTTGCCCACTGCTTCGCTTCCATGCCTAAACTGGGCCTAAACAAATGTCGAAACGAGCGTGCGGCTTGACTGCAAGACATGTTGTGGAGGCTCAAACTCGGCGTGTGGAGCGCAGTCAAGGGCGCATGTCTTCACAAAAGCATGGTGCATCCCGTGCAGCAGGCAACAGCCCTACATGCTCCAATTTCTTTAGTTTTGTTGGCTTCGTCTCCAAATGCTGCCAGTGGCCAGGGGTGAGTTGGTCCTGGAGGAGCGACCGCATCCTGGCTAGGAGTCAAACCGATGTTGTTTCATAAGACAAGGGGGCCCCCACTTTGGAGTCAAATAAGAGGATCCAGATAGCACACAGCCTCACCCATAAGTTTCTTGCACACACATTTTTCGTTTCGATATGGTAGTTGCTTATGGACCACAAGGGTTGTTTACCCATGTCGGTATTCTACAGAAGAAGTTAAGCCAATTAAGCCGAATTAAAATTAAGACAATACCTAGGTTAGCGGGGAATCCAGAAATACTCGTACGTGCTGATGCTACAAGAGGTATGTGCCAAGTCTACATCAAGTTTCGCTAAGGTACGCGTAAGCTCACAGCTCCCATTGCCAAACTCTCTCAATGTTGATTGGCGGTGTCACCTCAGTCTCTTCCAAAACTGATGAAGGGGTTGGAGGGGAATCCATCTGCATTGAACCGAGGACCATAACATATCAAGCTGGCAGCGATTGGCCAATTTCCTTGCAGCAGCAGTTCGTGGCCCAGCCAAAGGGTAGAGGGTTGAAGTCCGGTGGATCCTCGGAAAAGGAAAGTGCCAGTTTCGGGCATACAGTACATTATTGGAACCAGGAAGTTACCCGGACTTGATCATTGACTAAGCAACTCGGACCAAATCTACAAAACACAGACTTTGTTTGGCTTTGATCATCGTATCTCATCTGGGACCCCAAAGACTCGAATATTGTCTCAGTCTTCCCAACCTAACTCGAAGCCGAAGATTCATCATCGAGTTATCACCCGTTTATTTCTTTCTGTTTCCTTCGGTACCACTGACGAGGCCCGGGCTGACTTCCAGCTTTTGCCAGGAGCAATGTGTAATCACAGTCGTGGTGGTCGTTGTCCTCGTCGAGGTCCTCATCGTCGTCATCCTCGTGGCAAGAGTAGTGACATTGGTCACGATGATGCTGATGGTGATGATGGTGATGGGAAACATGGTAGTAGCCATGACCATCTTAATGCACATTGCCCCACCAGCACCAAACGATATGAAAGATAGAGACATATGCACAAGTAGTGTGATGATGTTGTAGCGATTTTGTAGCTACAAACATACTCTCGCTTCATCAAGCCAGAAGCTGTAGGACAAGTTGCCTGCCGCATCGCAATCTGCGGTCATGGACCTCTACGATGCAGCGCGGCGTGGGGTTGGAGACCCTGTTTATGTTGACCAGGTTTGGGATTGCAAGGGCACTTGCCGCCTGAATGCTTTGCATTTGCAGCTTCGGCTGCAACTTCAGGCAAAGCCGAGTCATGCGAAACGTCGTTGTATGACATGCATGGCTAGGATTCCCATTCGTTATCCGAGCCGGGTGCGCCTGAACTCCCGCAGCTGCCTCCTTCAAACGCTCTTGGTTCCAGGCGTGGACGACGAGGGTGGGAGACTGAAGCGAGACGCCTGCCCTCTGAACAGATTAGTAAACAAACATGGCTGACGCTGATGATGCTCGGGTTGGCGTGGTCGACGCAGCCAATGCTCCTCATGCTCAGGTGAAATTGGCCTGATCTTCATCATGCTCGGGTTGGGGTGGTGGCAAGAATCAGCGCAGCTGATGCTCATGATGTGGTCGCCCAACCCTTGCAAGAACCAGCACAGCATGATTGGGTCAACCAACGCTGGCAAGAACCAGCACTGCCAACCCTGGCAAGAATCAGCGCGGCTGATGTTCATGACGCTGCGATTACATGGCGCCACCACACCTCCAACCCGAGCATCATGAGCATCAGCTGTGCTGGTGGTTGCCAGGGTCGGGTGACCAAGCCGCCTCAGCGCGAGCATCATGAGCATCAGTGCGCTGATTCTTTTCAGGGTTTGGCGTCCACGCCACCCAACCCGAGCATCGAGCAGCAGCTCGGTTGAAGGATCACACTGACCGAACCCGAGCAACTGGTTCTTCGCGCATCAGTAGCCCTGTACGCCATCAATGCCACCCGAGCATCATGAGCATCAGCAGCCTTGGTCCTTGCCAGACTCCACCGACAACCCCAGCATCATGGGCATCAGCTACATTGGGTCGGTTGATTACACCCAAACTAAACCCGCGCATCCGGGGCATCAGTAGCACTGATCCTTGCCATGGTTGGGCGACCGTGCCACCCAACCCGAGCCATGCGCATCAGCTGCACTGGTTCTTGCCAGTGTTGGCGACCGTGCCACCCAACTCGAGCATCAAGAGCATCAGCAGCATTGGTTCTTGCCAGACATGAGCGACCACGGCATTCGACGCCAGCGTCATGAGATGTCATGAGCATCAGGCGACAACCCAGCATGGACGACCATGCCAACCAAACCCGCGCAACTGGTTCTTGCCAGTGTCAGCCACAGTGCCCACCCGAGCATCATCAGCATCAGTAGCCCTCGCACCTGCCTGGCTGGGGGCAGCCGCTCCACCCCAACCTGAGCATCATGAGCTTAGGAATTGCTGGTATTTGCCAGCGTCGGGTGACCACGCGACGCCAACGCAGAGCACCATGCATATGCGATAGCTCCTGCCATATTTCTTGTATCAATCAAGCCACCCAAGTGACGGGCCTCGACGGACACCACGAGCACCACGAGCATCAGCTGCGCTGGTTCTTGCCAGGGTCGGGTGACCAAATCCCCCACGCCCCATCCCAAGCATCATGAGCAGCAGTTGCGTGCTGGTCCTTTGGTGCGACCATGCCACTCAACTCGAGCATCATGAGCATCAGCTGCGCTGTTTCCTGTCAGGCTTGGTCGCAGGGAACTCAACTACTCAAGCTACACGGAACAAGAAAGAAATGCTTGAAGCGCGTGTTGTTTGAACGGTCATGTGGCAGAACTGGTGGATGCCACGTGCATCCTGGAATACCGCCCAAGCAATGTGAACAATCTGAGCCGCAATTGATCACAGAGGCATCTCCGGGGGAGAAGACGTTGAAGGGCATCTTCGACACGAACAGCACCGCGGCATCAGCACTCTCGGAAGGGGGAGGAAGTATACGAAGGGATGGTGGCTAAATTCCAAGACTTGCTAGACTCACCGGTCCAGGAGTCCATGCCGGGCTTTAGTTTCCATTTCCAAACTGTTTCGGTTCAGACGGGTTTGGTTTCATTGTCCTGTATGTGCCATGCAGTATGGTGCCAGGCTTTAAGGTGGACTATACTATCGGCGATGACATACACGTGCACACACGCCTGGCTCGTCATGTTGCACTTTTCTGAGCTTCCACTCATTAATAGCAAGCATATTCTTCGAGTTCGGCCACATGGAGAATGCCATCAAGTATGACTATAATTCACTACCGTGCCCCACCAGATGCTGTACGTGACAGTTGTGATACGATGGAGGGCAACACGCGACAATGGTGGTCGGCACACGCGAGGAGACCCGAAGAATCGTTGTCCGAGGTCCTTAGAGTCACTATAAGAGGATTTGCATTAGGCTGACCTGTCCCTCCATTCGCAGTATGGAAGCAGGGGAGCTGGGATCGCTACAACTGATGGTGGCCTGCACGCGTAGCAAGACAACAACCCATACGACAGCGGCAGCGCGACAAAATCAAAAGGGCGCCCTGTGTGCGAGTTTGAAGGCATTGGATGCTCCAGCCCAACTTTGGCCACACTGGCATGTTTTCCGCAAGCCGGGCGAAGGGATGCAGCCGAAGAGCCTAAACTGGTTCAGGCCCTCATTTCAGATTCTGGTGTCCCAAAATAGGTTCCAAACATTATGAAAACCTGTGAGAGCTGGGCTGCATTCCAAATCCGTTCTGGAGCTGCGGAGGATGGCGTCCTCTGCCTTTCTGTAAGCCGGATCAACCACTCCTGCTGGCCAAACTGCACCTTGAAGAGCATCTAATGTGGACAAGGCTAGGCATGTAAAAGGCAGGGCTCCTTCGTGAAAATCTGTTCATGGCAAAGGCTTATGCTGCTCAGGGTGCAAGCTGAGGCGAGCAGTTCTGGGATGAGCAACTCTTCCGGGAGAAGATCTTCGCATGCAAGGACAGGATGCTGGCTCAAGGTGTGGGTGGGTTAGGTCATGCAACGAAAAAGATTCGGAGAGTTGCTCCTCTGCGGGGTTCCAGCGTATTCATCCCATGTCTGAGTTTCGCATGGATTGCATCAGGACATCAAGAAGGGTGAGGAGCATCTCGGCTGCTGGCTCGACCGTTTCCCGGGCTTTTGTTCCGGCCCTTATTGATGCATAACTGATGCATATTGATGCCACTGGCGCTGGTTGTCAGCTTCGCCCAGCCTTTCCATCCGCAGGCTTTGTATATCCTATGTGGAGCCGTACCTCCTCGCCGAGACTTTGCCTTTTGGAGTTTGTTGGGGGCAGGCATGGAGACTTCGGAAGTGTTGATACTAAGTCGGGGTTCTATGAATGCAGCAATGAAATCAAAACGTTGGTAGATGCCACGAAAGATGCTCTGCTGTGACACGCTCCTGCCACACAAGCGAGCGCAACGCGGGTTTTGTCCAAGGAGGAGCGAGACGACATCTTCCGACGAAGAGCCTGTGCCGGTGGGTCATTTCTGGAGGTCCTGGGTTCGTGCGCCATGGGCACGGGCGTGACTTGTGAAGCTGTGGTTGTGTGCTCGTGTATGCTGGGGCAGTTGGCATCAAGATCAATACCTTGTTGCACACGTGCTTGTGTTGGCAGTTCCTCGCGTTGGAAGACCGGCTCTCTTCGTCGTAAAGGCTCTGTCTCTTGTGTTAGGAACAAGCAAGAAGCCTGTACAGTAGTTGCGAATTGCAAACTGTAGGATGACTCCAAACACCAAACACGAGGCAAGTTGTGGACAATGCACATATATACACATATGTACTCACATAGATGTATATCTAAATATACATGTGTACATATATATATATATATATATATATATATGGCATGGGACGCTGTTAAATACATATCGTACATACGTACATACATACATACATATATATATATAACACGTATATCTGTAAATGTATACATACATATATACATATACATACATATACATACATATACATACATATACATACATATACATATATGTATCTATGTGTGTGTATATGTATGTATGTATGTATGTAGGTAGATGTAGATGTGTTTGCACATGCATGTACATATATATATATATATCAATGTGTGTGTATGTATATGCATATGCAGATGAATATGCATCTGCATCTGCATCTGTATATGGGTATGTCTATGTATATGTATATGTGTGCATGTATATGTACACGTGTATGTACATGTATATGTAGATGTTTATGTTTATGTATATATATATATGTGTATATATATATATATATATATGTGTATTTGAAGCCTCGTCTGCCCTGCCGAGTGCGAGTGACAAAAATGTGTATACATGTATGTGTATGTGTGTCAGTGTGTACCAGAATGTAAACAGATAATTAAGTCAAATAAATGAAGCAAAATACAAAAACAAAATACAATATATATATATATATATATACATATGCGAGCCTTGAGCAACACAGGAGCTTTAATTGCATGTAGCTCCACTTGCTTTGGAGTGCGAGTGAGAAGCTCAGGATATGCCTTTGAATGTGCTGGCTCTGCCCCGAACCGGGAGGCAGCTGCAATGTCAGACTGGTTGGGGCATACAGGGCCTCAACACAGATTGCGAAACCAAGCACTGATAGTAAGCGTCAGCTTTCGGCATACTCTGCGCCAAACAAGGGTCTTGAATATGATCGTGGTGAGGACCGTCACAAATCCTATCATGCTTCGGGCAGTTAGGGTTGGCAAATGTCAGCCCTGCCACCGGTGTTATGGTGGCTCGTGCTCATGCTGCCGTTGTAAAAACCGCGATTCCTGAACTCTGTGGGATCCTTTCACCCCGACGGAACTCGCGGATACATGCCTCACCTGCTCTTCTGCATGTTGCAGGCCAGTGATCGGCGCAGGAAGCGTTTGGGCGAGGCCACCACCCTCTTTTTTGTGGGATCGGAATACTCGGTAACAATATTCCCTGAGATTGGTCCTCGTATGTGAGGGTTAAGGCCCCTGGACGTATTTGCAGAAGTTAAAAGACGGGCACAGCGATTCCTTTTCATCCGTTTCATAGAATGCACATGCAGAGTGTGATTACGGGTAAGCACGCTGCATTCAAGAGACATATGAGTAGTGAGTAGTACGTACTAGCGGAAATGACAGTAAACAAAGCAGCGGTAGTGCCAAGAATCCCACCAGTAAGATAGGTTACATGTGCCGGAAAGGATGCCCTCGTCTGTTGAGCTTGTGTTGAGAGAAGAAGTGGTGAAAGTGCGTAGCAAGAGAGTGTACGTACTCGGGGTCTAGATCGTGTGATTTGGACAGCTGGCCTTTCCTGAGCACTTCACCAATATTTAGGTGGAAGGCGGAAACCAGCTAATGCGACTCATACAGCTGCAGTTTTAGCAGCCAGCAACGCAAGCAGCATGCTTGACAGTAGTCGTCCACACCGTCACCAGTACTTCTGCGAAATCAACACCGCCACCACCATCATCATCATCATCATCAGCGTCGTCGCCACCTTCACGTTTGGGGATGTCCGCGGCGTCACGGAAGTACAACCACGAACGAGAGCAATGAAAGTGGCGGCATCATCATGTGCCCTTATACCAACCATAGCAGTGGGGCAGCGCATTGAGTGAAATTTCATGAAGTCTAAGAAAGCTCGAGAAATCTCAGAGAATGATGATACAGAAAATCAGAAATGCTGCCATCATTGTGTCCATAAGCTGACGCTTAACAGTCAATGCTACATGAAGGCTGCCATCAAATTCGGCGGCGCCTGGCTCTGGTTCTTACTAGGACTTGTGGGAAACATGGACTCGTATTGGTATGTCGAACAGTGCGGCATGGCACTAGTAGAGATGTTTTACTTTTGCAACAGTAAGTGCCACACTCCTGCCTGGCCTAGTCCGGGTGCCCTCGGGCTCTCCATTCCAGCACAATTCCAGTTTGCTTGCGGTTGTTGCGTCAGTAAAACTGGTTAGAAGCTGGTCAGGCACTTGCAGAGCTTGGCCGCGGCGGGGAGCTGAGGTTGCACAGGGCAGAGACGTCAAATTGAAATGAAGTGTGTACCCGCTCAACCCGAACTGTCTCACTGGCAAGTTGAGCACAAGATTCCAGAAGCTGCAGGTGTCAGCCCGGATGCAGATGCCGGGGTGGCGCTTGCGGAGGTGGAATCCAGTTGTTACTTGACGTTGAACTCCGCGTCTGTGTAGCCAGGGGGTTGATAAGCTTATAGTTTCTCGTCGTCCACGCGATATCACCTTGTCTCGGATGCCGGCTCGGGATGCGGCTGGTTTTGTTTAGGGCCTCACGGATGCTTCGGCGAAGAGGCTGCAGCCACGCTGTAGGATATGCAGCGACCTCGTGGCGATCTAGTGGCGGTAAATGCCCTATGGATGGTAGGCCATGTCCAGAGCGTGCTGGCCTGCGAGATCCGCTTGCAAAGCTTGAACCTCCAGGATTTCATGGCCCCGCGCCATGAGGTGCACCCGGACATCTTCGCTCTCTCCGGAGCTTGGCCTGGTGGGCCCCTGGGCCCATTGGTGGCCTTTCGCGCTGATGATCGGCCTGGTGCACCCGAGGCAGAGGGTCTCCAACGTGCCAGATCTGTGCAATTGGCCTCTGCGGTTACTCCCCTGGCATGTTCGATCCAGAGATCGCTTCCTGACCCTCCGACCTGTCTCACCGGTCTTTGGGATCACGGCTTGAAGCGATGTCCTATTGCTGAGGCCGCATTTTTGGAGTGGTGGAGTCTGATGGAAAGCCACAGCCAGGCAAAAGTGATGGCACGCAATGTGCAGCTGCAAGAGTCCTTTGGACACGCGACGGCAGAAGCAGATGGGAGCCGCGTTAGCAGCATCCTGCTCTGCTGCATCGCTGGTCTTCTGGTGCTTTCCAAAGTGGAGTCCTGTGGCCCGAGGCTTGACCAAAAGTCCGGCGATTGGCTTCCAAGTTGCGTCGCAGAGCTGCTAAGCACTGCAAACTCCTGCTGGGGAGCTTTGGACCTACAACATGCCAGCACTCGGCGAACGCTGCTCGTGGCGAAACCTTTGTGTCAGCACCTAGCGGTGCAAGGCACAGGTGACGAGTGGCAAAAGTTCGCGGACTTCGTGGAACAGTGTTTCTCTCGGAAAGCCGAGATGTCAGGCGATGCTCTGCAGTCAGTTGTCCGGAAGCGATGTGATGTTGCCGGCTGTACTTGTGTTGCTGCACGCAGAGTGCACAGACAGGATGCTTATGGGCCTGCAGGCTTTCGCTGTGACCGCCACAAGACTGCTCTTCAGCCAGGTGTGATGAGACAATGTGACGTTGCCGGCTGCACTTCTGTTGCTGTACGCTGTGTGCGGAAACACGATGCTTACGGTCCTGCTGGCCTCCGGTGTGACCACCACAGAAAGAGACTGCCAGGTGTACGAAGACGATGCGAAGTCGCCGGCTGCACTTCTAAAGCTGGTCGTTTGGTATTGAGGGACGACGTTCACGGGCCTGCTGGCTTTCGCTGTGAAGTCCACGGCGGACGGGCCATTTGCACCGTGCCTGGATGCAAGCGGTCCTCGAGTGGTATCGTGTGCAAGGCGGATCACTTGGGTCCGAGTGGGATGCGATGCAAAGCGCATCGAGCCCAGCGCTGCACCATCACCGGCTGCCATCGGGAGGCCAAGTGCAACTCGCCGGAGGACCTCCTGGGGCCTGCGGGTCGGCGATGCCCTCAACACAGTGCTGTTTGGCCCAAAGTTGCTCGGCATGCTATTTGAGGAGTGGCTTAGCCTTCTTGCTGAATTCTGGAGCTACGTGTTCCCAATTGACCCCTGTTTCGTGAATTCGCTTTCAACCCTTACGATTCTCGAGTCGAAGCATCCTGTAGATGCAAAGGCTCACCAGCAAATGATCCAGTGATTTCAGTTCAGGACAGGAGAGAGAGAGAGAGAGAGAGAGAGAGAGCTGAGACAAACCAAGAGTTCAGGGAGAAAGGAAATCACAAGAAGGTGTGGTGTGGAGTGGATATCAAGGCGGCGCTTTGCCAAAGACCTCGAGTAAGCAAGCGGGGTAATGACCGATTGAGCAACCTGAGAGAATCGGAGCTGTATATGTGCTCAGATGCCCTCAGCAGCAGCAGTGCAAGGTTATGACAAATGAATTGCAAAGAAAGTCATACTGCTGGAATCACTGCGTCTGACAACACTCAACGAAGAAGCTCTGGCGAAGATTACTTGCAGGTAGCCCGTGCAATCCCGAACTCAGCAACAAACTCAAGTAGCAGCTGCCGCCGTGTGACTCTGCAGCCCCATACTTTGGGACGTTGCGAGGCATACTCCAGCAACTTCCCAAAGAAAACGCTTATTCGGATGCTTGGCCCACGTGAAGCCTGGTAGGTTGTGGTTGCGAAATTCGCTCAAGGAATGGACGCACTCGTCGTTTCAGGAGGAAGCCGCACCAATCAGCAATCTTGTATTATCAATCGTCTCATGGGTTGGTTCCGGAGACGTCCTGTCGGCACCCAACCTTGTTCGAAAGCACACATCAGTGGTGAGTTCTTTTTCGGTGAAACGATCGCTGGGCAATTTGGGCTGCAAAGACGTGTTTTTTCTATGCTCTACCTTAGATTTGCTTTCATCGCAAACCTCAATGTCCAACTCTCTACATGACTCTACATAGGTGCAAAATGATGTTCGGTTTGCCAGCTCTCCTTTGCAAGACGTCTTCGCGCGGCAAGGAAATCATGTACTGTGATCCGAAGAAATCTACGAACATGTTGGCACATGCGGCTGAAATTGCATGAGCGCTCCTCATCAGCTTTCGGCTGTTAGAAAGGCACGCAAGAACAGTTTTTTGGAAGCGACTCATGTCATGCAACGTCGGCGGCTGGATTTGCATGCACTTCCTGTGTGTGTCTATGTGTGTGTGTGTGTGTGTTACATCGTGTTACAGTTTAGACGCAATCTTCCGTCTCGCTCAGACATTGACTGCTTATCTTTGATTGCTGGCACAGCCTTCGTGGACTGAACATCAAGCACTTGACCATTGCATTTATCACTGGGATGTATCTCCTCACGGCTCCGTGGAGCTTACCATGGGACTGTTCCGAGGGCCTTACCTTGCAATCGCCAATGTCAGTCGCGCCACTAACCAGCTGATGTTCCCCTATTGCCTGCATGCCTCGCCTGGTATTCCCGAGAGTGAGTGTCCGAAAAATGGTGAGCTGAACCGAAACTGCTGCTCATGACGATTAACGAAAAATCGAAGAATCCTTTCGCACCCGGATCGGTGGACTTGGCCGACACAGGGCCCGAAATTGATAACCGGACACTCACAGTAAAAGCCCTGGCGCGCCACAACAGCGAATTGCTGAGGTCTACATCAGATGCCACGGACTTGGCCAAATCTGGGATCCTAAAGACACAGAGACACACACACACAGACGAACCATCATCTGGATGCTCGTGGAGGTCTTGAGCACGTGAGCCATGAGACCTTGCAAGTCACTACAGCGTCGCAGGCACCTTGATCGAACGCCAGCGGCAGAGTGAGAATCGACGGGATGATCAAGCACCGTAAACGACACAAGAACCCCCGTTGCCGCTGTGACTTCAGGCAAAACATTTCGTTAAGCCATTCGTCATGCACTCCGTTATCTTCAGTAACAATTTGCACCTTTGCAAAGCCCTTCTAGCGACTCAGGTTTGCAGCGTCTCCGGGTGTCCAGTCTGGCCAGTCGGCAAGGTCAGAGCTTCCGACACACTTGGGCCGGCTGGGCATCGCTGTCACGTCCACGGAGGTGGTTGCAACGTGCATGGGTGTTCTCGGATTTGCTGGGGAACCGCTCCTTGTTTCGAACAAGAAGATGATGTCTCGCTTTCAGTTGATCTTACACTGCAGAACGCCTCTCTGCGGACCCGAAACCTCGGACCTCCAAAAAAGGCTCTTGTAGCAGCCAGCAGGGCCCGCATAGGCACATGTAGGCAATATAAGCAGAAAAGCACGGTAGCCTCGTTCAAGCCCTTAGCCGCCTGTCGCTGTCGGAAACCTTCGAGAGTTGCACAGGTCGCCACGGAGGATCAGCACGGCCCGGCAGGCAAGCGATGTTTTCGTCATGGAGGGCACGTTTGCAACGTCTGCGGTCGGCAGCCACGCCGACACAGGTCGGCAGACGAACATGGCCCGGCAGGATATCGGTGTCATTTGCATTCCTGTCCGGTCTCCAAACCAAAACCGAAGCCGGCGGCAATGGATAAACTACAAATATTCACGAATCAATGCCACCGCGTAGATGGAAAGGGTTGGCGATGCAAGCGTCCAGCAACAGAGGGGCAAAACTATTGCTCGCACCATATGGTTTGGAGGAGACAGAACTTGGACTACAAGAAGCAGCGACAATGCTGCCGCTCAGATGGGAAGAAGTGGCGATGCAAGCGTCGGGCAGAAGAGGGACACACCCTTTGCTCACACCATCTGATTTGGAAGAGACACGAGGTGGCAAAGAAGAAGGAGGGCCGGCGCAAAGCGTCCGAGGAGCCCGCCAAAAGGACTAAGCCCCTCCTCCAACCTCACAACGGGGACTTGGCAAAGATTGCTGAATCAAATGCGATGGGTCAAGAAGTGTGAAAACAGGCGTCATGCAGTTGCTGATCTTATGTTGCCTTCTAGGGCTGCGGAGAGAAACTTGCGAATGTGCTTTCGGGAGAGAACTGCAAAGGGCAGGCCTTTGTTCGGTGTGGTTCCATCTGCACTTTTCGTGGGCTTCAGCATGTTTATGCTATTTGCAGCCTGTGGTTTGCGCAGGCCCGAAGGCCAAAGCAAGACACCTCAGCCTCAGTCGATGAGAGGAGCTTCTGCAGCTTTGCGACGACGAAAGGCTAGCTCTGCTGCTTGGCAGGCTTGCGAAGATTTGGGTTCCTCTGTGCAAATTCACGGTACCGGCAACAGACGATGCCCTTGGGCAGCGTACTAACTTCGGGCGAGTCAAACCCAGCCCCTCCTAAGCAGGCATTTTCGAGCTTCCTTGCATATGTCCGTTCGTATGCAACCGCCCCTTGCTATAGGACCATAGGAGTCGTACAAACTAACGGAATCTAACGATCGAAGTGACCGTAGAACGGTGCAAGACGTCCGATGCGCCATGACCCAAGGCAAGGCTTTCGTGCCCAGGCCCGGGGGTGATAGTGACACTGGCAGTACTTGGGGGGCATCTTGTTGGTCTCTTGCACGACGAAGGTAGCAGGGGTAGCGACGAGGAAGGATGCCGTTGCCACACAAATCTAGACATTGTTCATGCACCGGCTGAATAATTACATTACACACGCACACACACCAATGCTTTTGTTGTTTGTGTGCCGAAACAGGCTTGCTATCATGCGTTCCAATGTCTGCTGCTGGCTGGCCGTGAGCCGGAGGAGGCCCAGCAAATCCAAGTACTGTACTAAACGCACTCCTGAAGCCGACTGACATGCCGTTGCCATCGCGGGGTCCGGCATTTCAACATCTTTGCTGCCTGGAGCACCTGGCCAGGCAGCACCCTGGCTACGCCGTGCGCGTGAGTTCCTCGAGGCTCCTACAACCTACAAGATGCGTGGGTGTGCTACGATCAGGTCGCCCGCGTGTTTAGCTGTTTGTCGCCTTTCTCCGTCGGATTTTCTGTCCGCTTGAGGCTCAAGTTGCTTCCGACTCGGAGCTTCATGGTAGTTCATGACAGAGGCATGTACGGGCCTTGAGTGCCGCGCTGTGGCTGATGTCTCCAGATGACGAGGCAGAAATTCAGCAGCCAGCAGTGGCGGACCCTCCTGAAGACGGCCAATTGACGCCGTCGCTGTGTCACCCCACAAATGGACAAATCAGGAGTAGCAAGGACGATCGCCATGCTCGGCAGAAACTTGCAGAGCTGACGAAGCGGGCTAAGGAGTTGAGAACTGTGCTGGCAAAGAAGCCTCATTTAGAGCAGGAGCACGCCAATCTTGCGAAGGAAATCGAAACCGAGCGCATGCTGGTACGAGAACGTGAGCGCTCCCTGGCCATGGAGCTGTCCACAATCGATCACGAGTTAGCAGAGTCGAGGAGCCGGCTTGCTCGCTTGCAAGGCAAAGAAGCAGCGCTTCTTCAGCAAGTTTCTGCACCGCTGGCATTGGAAACCCAGTGGGCAAAGGAAGCTGCCGAATCTTGCGGGATTTACGAACTTGTGGTGGGGACTCTTGTCTCACCCCGAGCGGATCTGCTAACTCCCGGTGCCACGGAAGCGGTTGATTTGCTTCCACCCGGAAAGCGGGTCAACGTCACGGAGTCGTTGCGCTTGCCAGATGGAGCCGTTCGGGCACGGATCTCAGAGCCAAGCGGCTGGATTTTCCTGCTTGACCAGGCTGGCACTCGCTGTGCCGTTTGCAAAGAAGTTGATGGCGTCAGCGAGCAAGACATTTCCACAAGCTGCCTTATCGACAATGGCATTACATCTCGGAGCGCAGCTCTGCGTGGATGGACTGCCAGGGTAGACGTGCAGAAGAGTATTTTCGCCGAGAGCCTACGTGAGTGCTTTAGGAAGGCTGCAATGGCTGATGCAAGCACAGTTGGCCCTTATATGTTGCAGCCTTTGACGGTGACGCCTTTAGCAAGGCATCTGAGCACTGAAGCCATCAGCCGTACCACTTCTTCCAAGGCCGCCGAGGCAAACAGTGATTTGGCACGACTCGATGCCGAACGTGCAGCCATGGAGATGGCAGATGCAGAGTCAGCCGTGACGTCGCTGTTCTACAAACTTCGGGCTGCCGCTTCCAGAAACAAGGTACTGGAGGTCGTAATCTCACGACTGCACAGCTTCTTGCACAAGGCGAAGAGCGCCGCTGAAGGGGGCCGTCCGACTTTTGGACTGATGGAACACTGGGAAGCGCATGAGCAGCGCACAGGCATCCAGCTCGAAGACCCGGAAGCAGGTTGCACCGTGCACGAGCTGAGGTGGGAAAATCTACCTCCCCCGGCTGCTGCAGCAAGCCTGTCGGAAGAAGTCGACGCGTGCGAGGAGGAAGCTCAAGAAGCTCAAGTTCGGATTGATACGATGCTCCGATCGGTCATGGAGCTTCAGCGACAGCGTGGCGAACGCATGCAAGAGATCAGCGATCTTCGTCAAAAGCTTTTTGTTCTCCGTTCCGCTTCCAGCGTCACAATGTCAGGACGCCAGCTGAAAGCTGTGCAGAGTCGGCTTCGACGGATCCAGGACATCGTCGCAAAGATGGCCAACGGAGCCCTCGAGGAGATTCAAAACGTGGAAGCTTGGATACAACTTGTTGAGGACACTCGAGCTGAAGTGGCTGCAGGCTTGCTGGCGGAGGACTCTACGAAGAGGTCGACGGAACAGGAGGTGCATGCTGTGTTGCAGGATCTTCAAAGCCAGTTCCGTCCCGGTCAGGCAGAGGACGGCGGCTCGACTTTGCCGGGCGCGCAGTCCGCCTGGTGGCTGGCGGCCAACATCGCCGCGCTTTCGGCTTACGCGCAGGTTGAAGCTGCCGAGCTGGGACCCGCAACTGAGGTGGACAAAAGGAGAGAGTTCTATGCCCTTGCTGACAGCCGGTTCGCAAAGGAGATGAGGCATTATGATGACTGGTGAGATTATCTCGGGACCCTCCACCACACCGATGCATGTCAAGAAAAATGCCAACAGTCGCAAAGCCAGCCCAGCTGATGGTCCAGATGAAGATGTACAAAGGTTCACGTAGCAGTTTTGAGGTGCACTGCAGCTGCCAAGCAACTGCAATCTCAGGACTTGTGCTGCAGAAAAGCCATTGTTCCAGCGCGTTCAAGTCAGACCATGAAAATTTGGCTCTCCTGGAGAGTCGAAATCAGCATCTGAGACGGTTCGGGATGTAGTGGCGTTTCCCAGGCCAGCCGTGGGCCAGGGGATCCCGACGTCGAGCAGCTTCGAGGCAGACTTTTGCATTGCCAGTATAAGGGAGGTTGCTGGGCTCTCGCAGCTCTACTGATGCACACTGACCCATCTTCACCATTTCTCAGTTCGAGCACGCTGCAAAGTTAGGGGATCGGCCGTACCACCCCAATCCACCCGAATTCGACCTCATCCGACCTATCCCCACAGGCTACGAAGCCGACCCGTCGAGTCATCCAGCAGCCTCGGATAGATCCACACAGCCTTTTGGATGGATTCGGAGTGTCATGCCGTGCTTGTGAAGACTTCCCAGTTACAAGGACAGCAGCTGATCTGGAAGGGCATTCGCACAGGAATGGCTCCGTCATTCCAGAACGCTTGTATTTTGCTCGCACTGCCGTGATGAGACAGGGCCCAACCCCGAGTACTCACTTAGAAGCCCGAATAGCACCACCGCTGGACTTTGAGATTCGCGATTGAGTAGTTTGACCTAACCACTGTATGGGACATGATTGCCTCCCTGCAAAACGTCGTAGGTCGTAGGTGGCTGGCTCTTTAGATCTGCCCCAGGCTTTCGGGCTTGGCCGGCCCCGTGATTGTGGCGGCCGCTGCCGCGGCGGCGTTCTACTTTCTGCGGTGATCCCGTGGCGGCGACACATTCATCCTGCTGATTCGAAGCATTTACCTCTTGAGTTGCACAGGGGTCGATTTGTTTGACAAGCGACACTACAAAGGCTACGTAGGGGATTTGGGAAGGAGAGCAGAAGAGGAACCGCCTTGGCTTTGCTGATGTGTCGTGGAGTTACGGTGATTTCGGCTTTGCCAGCGCACTAGCTGGATTCTACTCGTAGCATGGCTTACGTGCTGCCAAATAAATGGCCCCTTTGGGTCCTTCGGTGGTCTACTTTCTACTGTGCTTGCATCGGGTTCCTAAAAAGTCCACGACATTGAGCGACCGTCCGTGCAAAGCATTTGCTACAGCATGAAGCATCGCCCAGATTGCCATCTGTAGCTGGATCCTGTTCTTCTCGCTTCCTCTTGAACGCAGGGTCGAGGCCTCTCTGCAAGAGCTGGTCAAAGGCGGCGGTGCTGGGTTAGGGTTCGCGAGCGCACCGTTATCGTCTCATCGCATTTTGACCGCTTTGGGTTCCGATGCTTCTGTTGATCGACTTACTTTCCAGGCGATTCGCACAAAGTGGTTTGTAAGAGGGCTTGGGTCCGTTCTATCCTGCTTTTTCCTGTTGGTGAGGGTGGTCCGGCTTCAGTCCTGTCATGTCCTATCCGCTGTGGGTGTATGGGTGGCTTTGGATGCATGGCGACCCTATAGTCCTCAATGTCATCTTCAGCATCTTTGAGATACTGTCATGCACATGGATATGGGGGCCGGTGCCTCGCCATGTGTACACCAACATGTCCCATGCCTTTGAGATTTAGTACCTGTCAGTTTTAACCTTGAAAACTTGAACACTTTGTTATGGTTATGGAAATAGTATGAAATCATGGGTAGCTGCTGGTGCAGAGGCTGGGATTGTATTGTTTAGAAATGCAGTTTGAGGCTTCGATGTGCAGTGCGGTTTGGTGAATCCCTGTGTTGGCTTGCTGGAGTCGAGATCTGTGGGCTGCATAGTTCGGGAGGTTGATTATTTCATGGTTGGTATTACGTGGTTGCATGGTGGTTTGTTCGGGAGCTTGTCGTGTGTTTCTTGTGCATGGGCTTGTCCTGAAGCCATGCCTGCGACCTTAGGCCATTTTGGCTTTTGGCCTTCGCTGATCAAGCCATCTTGTAGACTTCAGAAAGACCGAGATGGTGCCATCCCAGCAGAGTTTCGGCTACGAGCAGGAGGAGTCGACTCCGATGCCCGTGATGTGGTATATGGTGCCAGCCGGCCAAGTGCAGCAGATGCCGTGCCATCGCGTCCAGAATCTCAGTACAAGCTTCGCAGCCGGAGCCTCGGCGACAATGAGCCAGAGCTCCATGTCGCAGTGGCAGCCATCCATGCAGATTCCCCAGAGGCTGCCGTTGCAGCCGTGGCAGGCAGCGCAGCAGGTGCAGCCAACGCTGCTGCTGCCGATGCATGCTCCGATGGCATGTCCAGCCTCGGACGTTCCGTTGGAGGGGCCCAGAGGTGCCAGGAGTGCCAGGAGCTACGGCAGCTACGGCACGGCTCCCAGGCCCGAGTGCTGTGGCCATGCGACGAGGGCTTCCGCACCCTCCGTGGCCGAGGTCTCCACAGCGCCCTCAGAGGCATCGCCACGCTTCCAGGACGCGGACAAGCTTTCCAGGATCTCGGCATCCACCGCTCGACGAATCCGCCGCAAGCGCGCTGCCGAGCGGAAGGCCAAGGCTGATGCTCAGTTCGCTCAGACGGATGCTGGAGAGCTGCCTCTTAGCCTCCAGAGGGGGGAGGAGCTGCCACAACTCCAGGGCCGCGTGTGGGAGCTGTCCCAGGACAAGAAGGGCTGCCGGCTGGTTCAGAAGGCGCTTGAGGACGCTGGCCGCGAGACCGTGGCAATCGCTGCTGAGCTCTCCGGGCACATCCTCGAGGCCATCAAACACCCTGAGGCCAACTATGTGGTGCAGAAGGCCATCACGCAGCTCTCGGTGGGTGGCTCAGGATTCATCGTGGAGGAGATGCTCGGTTCGGCGGTCGCCGTCGCGAAGAATCGTATGGGGTGCCGGATTTTCTGCCGCCTTCTGGAGTTCTGCAGCACCAACCCCAAGGTGGGCCACCTCGTGGACGAGTTGCTAGCAGACATTTCGGAGCTTTGCTGCCATTCCTTCGCGCACCATGTCATCCAGTCCGTTTTGGAGCATGGCGAGGAACGACACAAGCACGTGATCGCTCAAACTCTGGTTGCGGATGTTGTGAGGTTCGCGCAGCACAAGAACACCAGCTATTTGATCGAGAAGGTGATGACCCTCAGCACTTGCAGTGAGCAGGACCAGGCGGCCATGGTACGCGCTCTGGATTTCAAGGGCCTGCTCTTCTTGGCCAAGACCCAGTATGGCCGGCATGTCGCAAAGACGATGCTCAAGGACCCACGCTGGTATGCCGTTTGGGGCCCGGGCGCGAGGGACTTCGAGAGGTTAATCTGCCCCTTCCGAGTGGGGCTCGAGTCCGATCGGTTCGGCCGCCTTTTTCTGAAGGACATGGCGGAGTCTCTGCGTGACTGAGCTCTGAGCTGTCTGTGCCCCGTGAAACTTCCCGAATTCGCCACGATGCAAGCCCATACTGCCCGTTGAGGCGTTGATGTACAGCACTGAAAGAGGGAAGGCGCGCGGAGTGGCTCCGTAACTGTTCATATACGTCAGCAGCTCTGGCAGTAACTTTTTGCGCGGTAAGTTGTTTATCAGCCTCGCCATGTTTAAAACACCACGCCGCCCAAGCACACGCCTGTGCCCTCCTGTGTACGCTGCAGTGGCAGAGAAACTTCTGCGACAGACCAGGAGACTCAAGCGATCCTGTGCCGGGTCTGTCGGACCACGGACATTGTACAGTCCGGCCCAGGTGACAAAAGACACGGTCGAGCCTGGGCTTCATGACCGGCACTCGAAAGTGCTTTTCCGGGTGTAGTCCAGCTTTGCTTCGCATCGACTGCGCCTAATGATCTAGCAGTGGTGTTGGGCTGTTGCTGATTCGTGCTTTGATCGCGGTATTGAGTGTCCTTGATTGCGTTGGTGTTGGGTACTGAGTTCGCTGAGGGACTACTAGCGAGATCTCGTGTCGTCGTCTGGGATGGCTTGGGTGCGTAGCTTTGGGTTTGGTGCAGGACCAGGTGTAGGATTTGTAGATGGTTGTTGCGTTTTGGACCATGGGCTGTTTTTAATCGTTGTGTTGTGGGCACGCATCGTGAAGCCCTTTCCTACCTTGTGCGAGTGTGGGAATCGAACGAGTGTGCAAAACCTGTGGCATCTGGGTGCGGTGATGGTGGTGAAAAAGCGCCTTCCTGCGGCAGGGCTCCTCGGTCAGAAGGTCGTGTTCGCGACCCAGTTTTGCCGGATTTGCAGGGTTTAGTTCCTCTCATTGGAGCCGAGTAGAGCTGTTACAGATGGCTTGGATCAATGCGACGTCCGATTGGAAAAACTTGTTCAGCCTCAGTTTGGAGGCCAGAGGGCTTGAGAGTTTTGGCGCTGAAGGTGAAGGGTTATCCTCTTGCCTTGTCTAGGCATGCCCTTTGATGGCTTTGTATCTGCAGCTCGGAACAGTCGGCCAGGAGGGCCTAGCTGTTTGTACGCTTCTTTCAGTTTCAATTCCTCCATGAAGTATTATCTTAGGTTCGGCCCGTCCTTGTACAACTGTGGCAGCAGCCATCGCAATGTACAGGGTATTGTGCGACGGAGAAGACCTGACCAGAGTCCGGTGGATTTTGGAGTCCGATTGCAAGCCCGATCTCCGCGAGCTTTTGCAAAGCGGTTGGCAGAAGGCCTGTGGATCCCGGCGCAGGGCCCGCGGAGGAGGCCCCAAGCTGCTAATGTATCGCCGCATCTGTAAGGCTTTACAGAATTTTGCAGACTGTGGTGCTTGATGGTGCTTGTGTAGCATCGCTAGTGAACGATATATCTTACACACTACTCGTCCACAAGCACGCACTCATGCGTCGCGACTTAATTCTCCAACGAATTTCTGTTGCCCGATTTGCCATCAACCGTCGCAGCTGAAGTGGCTCTGGTGTTAGGGCAGTGGCTGGGCTGCTAGTGGCCCCAAGCATGGTGCAGCTTGGCATGAACATGGAACGTGCGAGTCAACGTCGAAACTGCCGTGATGCGCTTTACGCCCTTGTTGCGGTGGGGTGCAAGCCCCGTCCGGCTTGAAGGGGGCAGCTGTAGTCAGATGGGTAATTCCGTTGCGGCTGGCAGCCAGTCGGACTACATCTCTATCTGCCAATTGTTTTGGTAAGTAGAATTAGAAAGCACCAGCGGCAGTGGCAGCTCACGCCCCACCGCCGCATGCCCAGGAACATTCCCAAGACGAGGAACACGACCTTTGGCCGGAGTGAAGCAGTCAGGGTGTTAGCATAGTCGCGGTCGGACATGCTCCAAAGTTCGGAAGTTCTGCATGGGTTGACAGGCCCAAGGCTATGCTGGCTGTGGCTCTGAGTCTGGAGTAAATGTGCCACGGAAACACACCTGACAGAGGTTGTGCAGGTGCAAGCTTACAACTCGCCCGAAAGTAGGTTTACTAGCCTCATGCTCAAGATTTGGCAAGGTACTGCCGGAAGTGCAAGAAGCACACTCCCCACAAGGCCTTCATGCCGGGAGTCGGGCGGGGTGAACCGATCGTTTGCTTTGGTTGACGCCCTCCGAGCACCTCATGAAGAGATTCCCTGCCGGGCTTGTTGAAAGCGCAGTCTGATCGGTGCTCCAAATCCGAGAAACAAGCTTGGCAGGTCTCGCAGTACAAGACTGGCAAGGCATCCTTGAGCGCACAGGGAAAACGACGATACGACCCTTGGGACGTTTTTCGCGGCGGTTTCATAAGCTGCGGATGCAATAGGATTGCACACGGACAGGTCGTAGCATGGGGATGGAACTGAGGACAAGAAGCAAGCTGGCTTTGGCGGACAGACGAAACCCGTGTTCCACAAGAAGGTGGGCACGAAGTTAACACGGACGTGTATATAAGTGTTGCTTGAGGCAGGCCGGTGTCCATCCTTTCACAGGTCCAGGGTATGCATGGTCTACATAGGGCCATAGGGTTGGAGGGACGGGGCTGGGAAAATCAACTGTAGCGCCACTTGAGGGATTGCTTCCTTGGCGGGTGCATCCAAGGCCAAGACCACGAAGAAGCACCTCGGGTCTGAAAGCCGTGGTGCCGACAAGTCGAAAGGATTTCTGGGCTTGCTGTTGGACCTGCGAACTTGCTTCGTGGCGTTGTGGAGGGCAGTCCAACCAGAAAGGGCTGACGCATTGTGAGAGACGAGAGAGCTTACATGCCGTGAGTTTTGCAGCATGGGGTCTCGTTGGCTTGCGACAACTCGAAGATAAGCCCATCTCGCAGAGAGTCCCTTGCAATGAGTTTTCGAAGACCATCAGGGCGCAAAGGAGCAGCCACATACTCAAGCTTGGGTGTTGCGTGGTTTTGGCCAGCCACGTGGCATTTTGGAGGGACAGACAATTTGGCGCCATTGATAAGCCGAGGATCGTGCTGAAGTTTGAGTGCACGAAGTGCAAGGCAGGGCCCGGGTGGGGAGTGTCCGGCCTGTCAGCCTTGTGCCGCGCTCGGCGCGCTAGGTGTTGCGGGCAGTGCTGTGAACGGACCTGTGCAAAAGAACTCATGTACCTCGCATGCCTCTCTTAAGGCCAAGCGGATGAAGCCCATCAAGCGGACGAACCTTTGCTTCGAAATGCGTGCATGCAGTGACAGATGAAGTAAGTTGAGACGTTCCTGTCTTGCGTGCTCTTGGCACGGGTGGAATGAAGACGGCCAGGCAGCTGTTGTGAGACATGTTCTTGCGGGGCTGGACATTTAGGAAGCATTTCGAGCTCGGCACTGATTCCAAGAAGGGCAAGAGCGAGCCACCTGGGCTTTGTTTTAAGAGCTGCTCCTGGCGCGATCGAAATTCTAAAGTCCGAGTCTTTCATGAGCTTCGTGCACATGTCCCGTGATCTGAATCCTCTAGACATTGCCACAGCTTGACGACCGAAGTCTAAGAGTCTATGGCTTCTGCTGTAGCAGATCTGTCGTCCCACTCGGATTCATTGCACATCCTGTCACGAGCGATGACGGATTGCTGGGCAGCTGAGGTATGGTGGCAAGTATCGATAGACCGATATGCTGCCCCTCTCAGATGCCGCCCTGCCTGGAAAAAGCAAACATTCCCGGAAGCACGCAATGCAACTGTACGGTAGGCACTGCAGGCCTCAGACCTCGCCCCTGGCATTGCTTTTAGGCATGGGTCATAGCATGCTAGAACCGAAGACCACTCGGTTGGACTATTAAGTTTCTGTAGAACGGATCATGCGCACCCCTGCCGTCCAACATCTTCCGACCTAGAGCAACCAGCAATCGCCTTCCACTTTGTGTCTGGTCAGGCACAATAGTTTCAAACAAGGGCGGAGGCTGTGCCACCAAAGACCGTTTGTGCAAGCTGTGCAAGCATGCTTTAAGGAATAGAATGCCGCCAAGAGCCACACTGAGAATCCTTCCAGAACGGGTCAAAAAAGCAGAATCCTCGCCCAACGCCCCGCTGTTTGAGCCGCGCAAGCTTACTTCCTAGAACAGCCTGAACGCTTGTGACACCCCTGCTACCCTCAAACAAAAATGCGCCAGATGACAGGACGACGGATACATCGCACGCTTAGAACGAGACACAGCCTGCTTGATAGCAACAATCAGCGTATTTCAGCATTCAACTCTTCTTATTGTTATTGTTGAAGGAGTACAAGTGCTACTGGCAAGAGGCACCAACAACAACCACCACAACCACAACCGCAACAACTGCAGCAACCGCAACAATCACAATCACAACAACATCAACACTAACACTTGTTCAGCTTTTCGTACTTATGCAGTGCCATGAATACATGAGGAGGGTCGTTTTGGTAACCTCTGATGCCTTTCATCAGCCGATGGAGCGATGAGATGTCCACGCCAAGACTGAGTACCGCCGAGCAGTGACTCTGCCGTTGTTGGTTTCGGCTGTTGGGATTTTCACAAAGGATTTTTCATTTAGGCTTGGGGCTTGACGTTTCGAATGCCTGGGAGAGAGCGAGAGAGAGAGAGAGAGAGAGAGAGAGAGAGAGAGGCTTGGGGCTTGCGCAGGGTTTAGGGTTTGAAGGGTAGTGGCTTCAAAGCATCGTTGCTTCGGGGCTTCTTGGTTGAGTTCTGGCACCGAAACACACCCAGGAAGACCATCCTCGGGTGGCTCTACGAGGGTGATTCTTCGGAAGTGCGCGAATTGGCGCAGAGCTCAGCTAGAGAAATCTTTCCGACCCCCACTCTATTGCAAATCGTGGGCACGCTTGAAGATTTCAGCCCACCTCCATCATGCGATGGATACTGCATACAGTCCACTTTGTTTTTCGCAACTCGTATTAGTCGCATGTTGCAGACAGAAGAGGTCCAGACAGGCGGCCGCTACTTTGATTTCAATTTGGTGGATGAGGCCAGGACGAAGGGGTGTTGCAAGGCATCTCAACACCGGCATAATCGAATCCGAGTATTCCGGCAGTTATTTCTTGGCCAGAGGCATGCAGTGGTTTATTCAACCTCCGACGGCATACCAGAGAGCACCTGACAGGTCTGGGGCACTCCGCTTCTAGCCATCCTTGCTGGCAACATGTGGAATCCGTCGGAGACATCCGATCAGAGCCATCGCTGCCATACTCCCTTGTAAGATTTTGCTTCTAAACCCGTGAGCTGAGCTTTCGAGAAAGCCAGCCTTCGGGACGTGATTGCATGGCGGAAGCTTACAACTCGAGGGAAGCTGATGGTCCCAGAGGTGGGAGGGTTGTTTGAGGTTCATGCCTTCCTCAGCTGCTAGCCCCACATCGAGAGTTCCGGTGCATTACCGCGCGGTCGGGAGGATGGAGGGATTCGCTGACATAATGAGCTCAGGCCTCTCATTTAGCTTTGGTGCAGTAGAGTTGGGCATCCACATCACCACTGGCACGACCTGTCGAAGGCTGCCTGGCTTGCTTGCTCTTCCCTGCTCATTAACCCACTTGCCCGCTCACTCCTCTACTTACATGGACTCAACACACTAACATACACTCACTCCCGTGTACTCCTTGCTGGCTGGGTTGTTTGGCATGCACAGCAAAGCTTTTGCTCTTTTGACGCGAGTTCCCGCTTTGCGGAAGTCGAAAGGTGACGTTTGCGGTTCCCAGGACATTCGGTGCCAAGAGGCACCTCGCGGCTTTCTGCCTGATGGCCGGGGCGAATCCGGAGCAGCATGCGCCGGACTCGTGCAGGCAACTCGCTGAGCCGGCTGGGTTACAGGATGTGTTACATTCCCTGCACGAGGGTTTCGAGGACCGAACCGAGGCTGATGTGATATGGTAAGCGCTTCTCATTCAACCTCGAGAGCTCTTCCTCGAGCCGGTTTTCTGCCCGCAAAACGGTAAGCATGGCTTTGGGAATGTTGTTAGGTGGCGAGTGTGCATTGGCTGGGCATCAGCCCCCTTGGCCGGAAACTCGCCCATCTCCCTCACCAGCCACTAGGGCAGCAGGAAAGGAACTGGTTGCTTTTTTGCTTGCGGTAATCATGTAGCGCTCAGCCATCAAGGGAAAACGATAGGATCGGTTGCCTTCCGGGGATGAGTAAAGATTTGGCGGTTTGCCTGACCCAAGGTACTTTGTTCAGCCAGCTGGACGACGATTGCGATCCTGGCTGGTGTCCTGAACTGACAAGCATGACCCATTTTTGTGCGACGTGCTACGAGACTTGCCATGAGGATGGAGTTGCTCTTTTGGAAATCTCACCCAAACTCCTGTAGGCCCAGTCATGATTCGGTGCTCTAAAGTACATTCTCGGGCTGAACCAGGTACTCCCCGTGGACGACACCACGGATCAGATCTGATCTGCAGGAAGGGACTTGCTGCTTGCTTTTTTTGTACTCATGCCTTGACTGCACATCACTGCTTGGAGACTCTTGTCGAGATTGATTGAACAACTCCAGAATGTTTGGAGCTTGGACATGGCAGCGGACGCGCTGACTAGAATTCTGGACCAAACTGTGCTCACAGTGTGCCTGTTGTGGCCTGCACCGGTCCGGTCGCTGCGCACCCCCAATCCATGACCAAATGGAATGTGCCTAACCTGAAGCCGCTAAAGTAAAATGTGAAGCTATGAAGGCCGCCACAATCACCCAGATCTGGTCCAGAATCCCTCACACACCAAACCATTTGTAGAGTTAGTCACAGTCGTAGTCGTATCAGAGTGTAAACCCAAAAGCCTCCGAAAGCCCGATGCAGATGGCAAAAGTGCGTCTGCGGGAGGCAGCCGGATCTTGGAAGTGACAATAGGATCGGCTTTGAAGCTTCAAGCAATCGGGGATGTTTTCGAACACTCAGAGCAAGCGAGCGCAATGTGATTGGGGGGATTTGCTGGCCTTCTGTCGACCTTCAAAGCTGCAAACACGCCTACGCCCATTTTTTCAGTGCACACGTTGTCAATCGGGCCCCTGACTGCAGCCAGTCAGACCGGAGCCAGGCCAACCTCAAGCTTGAAGCCGTAAAGACCCCGAGCTTTGTCCCATCGGGATGCTGATCGAATATGTGGTGGTGCTTGCCCCGAATGCGCAGCGCCTGCAGAGCAGGATGAAGCAAACATGGATCGAGAAGGTGCGTGCAGCAGTGCGATCAAGCACACAGAAGTTACTGTGCAACTATGTTGTTAATGATAATCGTACATAGTGCTTAAGCAACACTACGGGAATCCTGGGAAGCAAAGCACAAATCAAAAGCCACGATGAGCAAGAGGGATGCCATAGAGTGGCTCCCAGACTTCAGTGTTTGAGGTCCTGGACCTTCTGACTGGCCACTGTCCCGGGCCTCAGGACAACGGAGGGACGCGATGCCGCTCAATAGAAAAAGGGCTGTATACATGTATGTAATGATATTTGATTTCGAGGCATTCATAGGTGTACGCAGCTCTAATTAAATGCAATCTGCCCGCAAAGCCAAGAAAGGCCTTGCAATGGGAAGTTTCCAGAAATTGGCGGGCGCGGAAATGCAGACATCTGTACCTGTCAGCACCTTGTCCCACACAACCCGAAGTTTCTCTGGGATAATCGACTGAATGTCACGGGCAGCGGCAAGAGCTTCCCCGACATCCCTGCACACAGAGTCCCTTGCGTCCCACTCTATATACAGTCTCTCAGATGTCGGTTCAGGGGTCTCGCAGCCACAAGCAGCCATCCTGATGATTTGTTCCCATTGGATGGCCGCGACCTTCTCCCGGAAGTCTCGGAGAGTGAGGTGCCTTCCTCAATGTCCTTAGAACTTCCATCATCGACGAGGGGGAGCGGTTGCTCGAGCGCTTCCAGGACATTCGCCGTAGAGCCATTGTCCCAGAGCTCCTCCGGGGCCGCAACCTGTACCTCGAGGAGTTCGCCACGGATCTGCTCGATGATCACCTGCTCCTCCAGGTAGAACAAGGGGAACTCCTTGAAGACCTCGATGATCGCCCTGAAGACATCCTTGACGGTCGTCCACTGGTCGTTGTCAAAGAGCATGAAACACAGTCAGTGACAGGTGCACATGGCCGAAAAGGGCACCTTCTCGTTGGTCCATCGCAAGCAGCAGGAACTCCGCATAACGGCCCATCCCTGCTCTTGCTTTCCCGACAGTCTTGGGTCAGCCAGGTGGGTGCCCCGAAGCAGCCGCAAGCTGGGCACCAATCTCTGCAATGGACTGTTCCTCGCTGTCGGTCTCCGCCTCGTCCGGGATCTCCTCCATCTGGGCCGTCTTGCGGGCGCGGATGCCTTCGAGCTTCTTCGCAAGGGGTGTGCCTCTGAGCGGTGTCGGGATGGGCTTCCTCGCCGCCAGTGTGATGGGGGTCCTCAATCTCCCGGATCGTCGCTGCTTCGGAGTAGTCCGTGCCGACGGCGGCGATGGCAAGATACCTGTCATCGACGGCGATGCCATGTAAGGATCCATGTTGTGCGGGCTCTCCGCGACCGACGGCAGTGGCCCGACATGGGGCCCCAAAGTGGTCGGGGGTCGCGCTGGTGAGGTAATTCCCGTCGTGGTAGGCCTCGTAGGCGTCTGAACGACGTGCTTACCTCGTTCTTGGGCTCGTCCGGGCCGGCGACCTTCTTGAT